GTCCATGTTCACGCACAGCATAAACAAAAACAATTCTACAAGTTATCTTTCACAAATCACCTGTTTAACCAAATGAGTTAATTTCTTACATTCATTTCATCAAACAGCAGCAGTCAACTCCCACATCTCAGATAAATATTTAAACTAACATTTGCTGTTTGAAGCCACAGACAACAGTTAGCTCAGCTTAGTTCATTTACAGCAAACTGGATCGGGGGCTTTCTGTGTAAATTGCTGTGGTTTTTTTACTGCTGTATTCTGTTTTTTGGAGAGGAAACACAGCGTTTTTAGGAACTGTGCTATCTCTGTTCTAACCACAGTTATGATAAAGTACAAATGTTCAGATAAAATACTTACTTTAAACTCAACACACTCACACATAGCACCTTTCACTTGGTCGACGTCTGCGGGTTCACAAGTAGACCGGCATCAGAGACCTTATAGTTCATTTTGACATTTTTTGACAGCTGCAGCAGTGTGGCATTTACTGATTTGACTTTGTGTGTCTATGTCTGTGTGTCATAATGACACTATGTGGTTCTGTCTACACCTACTACTTTGACTGGAACTTATAACAAAGAGGAGTTTCAAGTGCTCTGGTCTGTGTTTATATGTTGTCTATCAAAACAGTGACGTCACCAGTGTACTTTCGGCACGGTACATTGAGTCCACATTTCCTTATCTGACAGAAATCTATGAACTTTCCTGTTATTTCTGACCGTATGTTAAATAAATGTCTGCCAGATAAATACAAAAATAAAAGCTCAATTGACAAAACTAGTTTAGAAAATGATTTTAGACCCTTGTGATTCTTATATTTTGGCACGTGTGTGCAGACAAAATGTACGTGTCCAAACCAGCCTCCCCTCTCTGATAGTCTCCAAATATTTACTGTGCAACGATCAATAATTGCACAGTGTCAAAGTATATCATGCATTGCAAACTGCACATACACAGCTTCACAGAATACAGGTAATGCCTTGTTACACAGTGCGTGTAGACGTGTACTTTTATGACAGAACACTAACAACAATTTTCCTTTAAGTTACTGTGTAAAGTGTAAAAAACGTTTTTATTGTTTTAAACTCAAAGTTATGTTCAATACCAGGTTATAAGTATACCTTGTTTTTTAAGCTCGTGACCCTTCTCAAAAAGATTGTTGCCATTTGTCAGTCGAGTTCGAAATGTTTTGAATCTATCTCCTGGTTACATCCAATGTTTATGTTGTTTTCTGTCAAATAGTGGTTGCATATTTTCCATTGATCATTGCCCAACCTGTAGATGAATCAAAAACATTACTATTCCAACAAAGAAAAGCATGCAGACATCATATTTAGATACAGAGGGGAAAAGAGGCACAGAGACAAAATGTAACCAGATGTGGAACACAGAAGGTAGAGAAAACTGAAGCTAAAAAAAAGCAAAATATCAAAACCATGAATAACAATAATCAAGGAATTAAAATTAAAAACAAACACTAAATACTAGGTCGCAGACCCAGTGGCTTGACACTTATTTCCAAAAGGTTGGGAATTTGTGTAAAATGTAAATATATGGGGCCACGTTGACCACTGTGTAGCATCTGCTCTTCTTTTAACAACAGTCTATAAATGTGAAAGGTTTGGACTGCAGGCAGGCCACTTCAACACCCAGACTCCTCTATGTACTTCTTTTATACTCAATCATATTCCAGACCTGTTACCCAGTTAGCTGATCCAAATGTTACAGCAAATGTTTCTTTTCGGTACCATTTACTTTTCCAGCCTTTTGTTGCCACATCGCAATTTATTTTTTAACTGTGCTGTTGCCATCAAATTCCAAATGAGCTAATATTATCTTAAAATTAAACTTTTTTTTCTTTCTCAGTTTGTTAAATGGTTTGTTGGGAATAAAATATAGGCTAATGAGACCATTGCAATCAGTTTTTATTTTCGTTTTACACAGCATCCCAACATTTTTGGAACTGGAGTTGTAGTTCAAAAAAGTTAGAAAATGTCTTTAATCATGAATGCTGAGAGTAAAATAGATTTTCATCACATCTTTCACTCAAGTACAACATTTAATTATAGCCATATAGACATTACAAAGAAGGGTTGATGCTATTATCAACAACTACGCACTTGCTGTAGAAGGTGTAGTTGACCTCAGGAGTCCCGGTCTTATTCCATGTGCAGGAAACATACTCCAGATTCACCACCAAGCAATCCACATCTGTTAAAAAACATGATGGATTTGAGAAAATGATTTTTTAAAAATGATAAAGGTTAGACATATCAAATCTACCTTACAGCATGTTACATTACATTACATTATGTTATATTAAAAACAACAACAACAACAACATAATAGCTCTATTTAAAATGATCTTACCAGGGCTTTTTTTTTAGCAAACAGGTCCGATCAGACAGAGAAGCAGAAGCAGTCTGGCTGGCATCATGGCGCACTAAAACAGGATTTTAACAGTAGAGGTTCAAGTTTACCTTTAACTGTTGCTGTTTGGTATGGAGGACCAGAAGAGCCACACGCATCAAAATAACAAATTTTGTCCTTCAATAATGAATTGTGCCCTAAAATATTCATTAGTAAATTAATTTTTTATTTATTTAATTGAAATATTACTAAAGTAATTTATTATTAAATAAACTAGTTTAAAATAAAAATATTTGTAAATCACTTTTTCACAGTTAATACTTCAAATTGATTTCACAAAAAATAATTAAACCCTTAATAAAAATGTAATTTAAAAACCATTTTCGAATTCCAAATAAAACAATAGATTTTGAAAACCGTTTTTAAAATGCAACTTTAAAAAGTGAAATAAGTCGATGTATTCCCAAAAAGTTGATTCTCTTTCTCTGGATGTAGCATCAGTGGGAGAAACGTTTCTTCCCTCATCCAAGTGACTCAGCTTCACTCACCTCAGCTGACTGCAGGTTTCCCCAATCTTATAAATTGAATATTTGCACAATGACTGAAACTAGCACCACCGGGCTGTGAGGTGAGTTTCTTGACCATTCATCAACAACTACTGATCAAAGACTGTTGATCAATAGCCAGGAGTGCCATTCACAGAGAGTTGGGGAATGGCTGCAATCACAGCATTGTAAGATGGAGAAAGATGTACCCTTGATTCAGAGATGGTCTTTTCCTTTTCACATAACCCCCAACTCCCTGTGTTTTAATTATTTTAACAGAAGAAAAACAAAGTAGAGAGAACGTAACATCTGTGTTAACGTTTTTAATATTTTTAAGGGTTTTTTGTAAGGGTGTCTTTTATATTACGGGTATATCTGTTGGATGCAAATGCAATGCTTCAAGTCAAAGACATCTGATGTTTTTTATCACAATGAGACAAAAGTAAAAACAAGCTCATTTAGCACAGGTGTGACACTAAAAGGTCGCAGTTTACCTTGATGTTACTTCTTATTCTTGTTATTAAACTTCTTCTTATTTGGACAAATCTGTCAATTATTTATACAAAAGAATATTAAAGAATCCCGACCCTTTAAACAGGTCAAATTACTACTCATCCGTAGCACGAGCTGTCATAACAACCTCGTGCTATAGAGTTTTGTGGGTTTCCTGTCAGAGGAAACTGCTTTCAAAAATATAGACTGAAATGATGTACACTGACATTTGAAGTTGGACTTTTAATGTCCTGTAAAATAAGCATAGTACAACACAGAGACAAGGTTTAATGCAATCTTTATTGAATAATTCGCTGGGCACGTAGTGCGAATCCAGTTTACTCTGTCTCCATCACAGACAATTAGACGTGGAAGTAGTGATGTTTTAGTTTTGTGAAAATGTAAAAAAATGGGTTCTGTTACATTACCATTCAATTTGAGGGTTAAAACAGATAATATAATATATTTATTGTTCTCACGTGGTATTGGACGGGATTATTTTAACAAAGGACATTTTGCCTGATAATTATTTTTATCCTCCTGTAACTTTACTGTGTAAAGAGCGAAAACCTCCAAAGTTGTAGTTAGTCGCTATAAGAATTGTTTGTGAACTAAAAATCAAGAATGTGGGATACTGTTTGTCCGTGATTTGGAGAGCCCAGCGTGTGCTCCCGACACAGGGTAAACGAATTCTGTTGATGATCCCTATCATCCCTTGGAATGACAGCTGTTGTGCAGGTGAAGCCAAAGGCAAGATATGCGTCATCATATTTTCTAGTCTTTGTCTTGGAAGGAAGTTGGTCTGGAAGCATATTTGGCGATGCTTCAACCTCTGCTTTGCGTTTGTGTGTGAGCCCTTTTAAAAAAACCTTTTTTTTTTCTAATTCATACTGCGGTCCTCCTAGGTGGGGGCGCCCCCCACTTTGGGAACCACTGCTTTAAACTCACACATAGCACCTTTCACTTGGTCAGTGTCCACGAGTTCACAAGTAGACCCACGTCAGAGGCTTTACCATCAATTTTGACATTTGATTGCCAGCTGCAGCAGTGTGGCACTTACTGATTTCACTTTTGTGAGTCTATGTCTGTGTTTCAAAATTATAATTTGTGGTTCTGTTCAGACCTACTTTGACTGGAACCTAACACAAAGAGGAGTTTCAAGTGCTCTGGTCTGTGTTTATATGTCTGTCTATCAAAACAGTGACGTCACCAGTGTACTTTCAGCGGTACAATGAGTCCACATTTCCTTATCTGACAGAAATCTATGAACTTTCCTGTTATTTCTGAACTTTTGTTAAGCAAATGGCTGCCAGATAAATACAAAAATGACAAAATTAGTTTGCAAAGGGATTTTAGACACTTGTGATTCTTCTTTGGGGACAGACAAAATGTACGTGTCCAAACCAGCCTCCCCTCTCTGACTTTGTCTCCAAATATTAACTCTGCAACGATCAGTAATCGCACAGTGTCAAAGTATATCATGCAATGCAAACTTCAAGTACACAGCTTCACAGAATACAGGTATTGCCTTATTATAAAGTGTGTGTAGACATGTGTGATGTTTTATTTAAAAAACAAAAAAACAAAACGAGCCAAAGTCATGGGATTTATTTTCCAACCTAACACATTAAAAGTCAATAAATACAATGCAATAATATACAACAACTTAAATAAGTGCTCGCGAATGAGCTAAAAGGTTTTCCAAGACCTTATGTTAAAAAATAAAAATAATGGAAATGATTAACAGTAGAATGTGCTGCAGTTAAAATCACTGAAATACATCAGTTGGATTTTTGATATGCTGCAGAAATTCAAAAACTTACATCACGGAAGCAGAGAGCTGATCGCTGCACCCTGATTAAGAATGCATATCGTCTAAAGTATGTTTTTGAGAGTAACTTTGTCAGCACTTTATACCACCTGTCTTAACAAAAAGGAAAAGCCTTTTATTAAGATGGAGTACTATGTATCTGTGAGGTGAAAGATTTCAAAGAAATATTAAGGTCAAGTTTATTAAACTAAAATCTGTAGTCTGAGGTTTTATTTAAAAGGCTAAGCTCGAGTGTAACTGATTAAATACCTCCAGCAAATATTGGGGTTCTTCTCACTGGGAATTGTTGTAAACCCTTCTAATAATCACTGTCACCAAGCAGGAGATGTATCAGTGTAACAAACTCCCGATAGTTTGGCTCAGGCAAACCTAACCCTGGTGCACGACCTGCTTAGTCAGAAACCTGCTGCACCTCCTCAGATGGAACTTGGGAGCTGGAAGAGGACAAGGGGACGTACAGATCTTCTGGATCGTTCACATCGATGGACACAGAGCAGTCGGTTTGGTTGGTGTTGACAGAGGAGGTGGAGTCGTCAGAGTTCATGCTGTCAGACTGGGAGACGTAGTTGTACTCACGCACAGGGCAGACCTGCTCATTGTAGCTTGCTTTAAAATTCTCACTCAGACCTTTGGAGAGCTGAAACCAGTCCTTAAAGAAATGGGGGAAAAATCTTTACATTAATTTGACAAATAAATGCAACAAACTGGATTTTTGAGTTACAATTATTTAATGGGTAACTCCTTTCCTAGAACTCCATGCTGAAAACTCATTTGAACACAAGAGTATTTATATTTTTAGCCATTAAGTGGTGCTGTTCTCAATCTACTGGTTCACCTCTTGATCTGGACAATTTAATGACTATTAAACTGTCTGCCAGGACTTCTACAGACATTTAAGATTCCCAGAAGATGTGAACTAATGCTTTGGTGCTCCTTTCTACTAATACTGAATGGACTATCATGAATCATGGCGTTATCATTAACATCAAAGCACTGTGATACCCAATACGATCTCATACAGCCACTAACATGCATATTTATTACTCTTCATTTAATTCTTTTAGTATCTTAATTTGTTTTCTAGCTTTAGAAATCTAGTAAGAAATCTTGTGTGACTGGGAATTGGAAGGATAAGACAGACCTCTGGATGTTACTAACCTCAATGTCATGAAGAATCGGGGATGGTTTGGGAACTGCAGGGATCAGGATGATTTTGAGCCTGTATGGGAGGTAGGGACACTGTTACTCTCATTTTTTCATAACAAGAATATTTGCATTCACTTTGTTCACGCTAACACCTCAGCACTGTAACTGAGTGAGGCTGAACTTTCCGGATCGGGAATCCGAATGCATGATGCAGGACATCCAGTAAAAGTCAAATTTGCATTCAGAGTTCGTACATGGATTGGTAGCACACAGAACAAAAAACTCAGGCAAAGAGCAAAGAAAACAGATGACAAGAACTTAAAAGATCAATCAACAAAGAGCAAGCTGGGGCAAAACGCAAGAAGAGGGAAAAGAATGCATTCGGGAAAGCTCGAAACACCAATGTTTGGAAACCCTGACTACAGTAACGACCTGGAAACAATAAGCAGACTGGATACTTTAGCTGAGGTAAGACAGGAAAAAAACAGGAAGTTAAAACAACCAAGACACAAATAATAGCTAATGTCTGGGATGGATAAGGGGGAAGTGTTGCTGTGACTAAGCTTATGTCAGCCAGCATCATCTGGGGTTTTTAAGCCTCAGGCAGAAAAGACAGTCTGCATGTCTTAGAGCTGATAAACCACATTCCTCTCTAAGACGTGTGCCAGTGGTCCAATGGTCCACTCACCAGAGGCCCACAAGCACTGTTTGTGTTGAACGCGTTTGGGACCTAACTGAAGGTAGAGGCTTACAAGTAGCCATGGCATGGCGACCCTAGCCCTAGTTTTGGTGATTACTCAGTATCCTAAGTAAATTCCACAGAATTTGAGGAAAATAAATCTTGTGCAAACACTTTTTAAGGTCATGAACACAGTGGGCATTTGGGTTGCCGTCATATGCTGGTTCCAATTCTAATCTACGGTCACAAAATCGCACGGCACACCTAAACTGACTTCGTGGCACATCAGTTGGATCTGTGATCTGATCATAGATCAATCATCTGATTTATGGAAGAACCCACCTTTCACGTTGCAGTAACATCACCACCAGCAGGATGAGGGTGATGGAACCCACCACATAGAGCAATGTCATCCACACAGGCACTGAGTCAGAGTCTGTGAGGAAGAAAAAAGAAGACTATTAAGTGTATAAATCTTTTAGCTCTAAATATTGGGGCATGCATTGTTAGGAAGCATAATTTTGAATTTTAACCAAGCATGTTGGGGTCAAACAGTAACTGAAATAAATCTAAAGTTCTATACAAACATAATTTTTTATTTCTGAAAGCTACAGAAAAAAAAGTCAGCTATACATAAGAAAAAAACATCTGCCGTGTTTAAGCAGTCATTCAATGACATTTTTGGGCAAAAAACGACATCTTTTCTTCATAACATGTAGAAATTTTAACCTATGCTGCTGTTGGATCCCCAGAACACAGGTTCACTCCAGTCACTCCAGAATTCAGATGATCCACAGCCTTCATCTTGATGTTTTTAACGAACACCTTTTATTAAGTGTAATGCACAAACACACCAACAGAGGGCAGTAATATCCCTTCAACATACATTGTAAAATTACTATTACAACACATCTATTCTGTTCCGCACTTGCAGCTCATATCGAGAACTTCCCGAGGGCGAGTTGATGCAGTACTTCTGTATCTCGGGGCTTACTTTAGAGAACTGGAAAATCAGATGGATTTTAGAAAACATAAGAATGGAAGAGAACAAGAAGAGGCAAAAAAAAAGAGCAATGAATTAAAAAGGATGAGAGAAACTCTTTTCCTACCCCCCACTTATTGTTGTTTGTCCTGAAGCGGACCTCACTCTCCACACAATGTAAGCGAGCAGGAGAAGTGTGGTTCCAGTAAAACCACAAGTTAAAGTCTGATCCATTGAGAACAGTCAGGTTGGTTGGTGGGTTTAACTTGACTGAAAAGATACAGATGTGTAATAACATGAACAGACATGCCAGTATACACTATACTTTAAGGCTTCTTTCATGTCAGAATACCCACAATTTTCTTGGAATTTTTTTTTAGATTTAAGCAACAGTGTAAATAAAAAAAATCCCAATAATTACACTAATTTTTCCATCACTATTTTATTTGTTATTTTAAATACAGTTATGTTCCATGCCAGGGTAAATACATACCTCGCTTTTTAAGTTCATGTTTCTCCTCAAACCTATCCTTGCCATGTACCAGCCTGGTGTTAAAAGTCATGAATCTGTCGCCAGACTCACATGGCTGGATGCATCCAATGTTCATGTTGTTCTCTGTCAAATACTGTGGGCAGCTTTTTTCTTTCTTATTGAAGAAACTGTGGATGAATAATAATAAAAAAACAATGACGCAAAGTACAGAGCCATATCTACTTTAGTATTCATCATGACCAATGATACGTTCATGGTATGTTCATCATTTATTCAAAAATGTGTTTTTTTTTAATTTGTTGGGCCTAGCAATTAAATATGTTTAACTGTTAAGTTTATCAGAAAAAGAGAAGAATTTTCATTACATCTTCCACTGAAGCACAACCAGCCTAATTCTAATCTGATAAATTCAGAAGACGTCACTAAAATGTCCCACTGCTGTTATCAGCGGTTACCCACCTACTATAGAAGGTGTAGTTGACCTTTGGTGTCCCCTTCTTATTCCAGGTACAGGAAACATTTTTCAAATTGATAACCAAGCAATCCGCATCTGTTAAAAATATGACCAATTTGAGAAAATGATTTTCAAAAACTGATAAAGGTTAAACATATAAAATCTACATAACAGTACAGTCATACACCCATGTCCTTAAATTGACTTTAATTAATTTAGATAGCAATTATTTTTATATCAAGGTACAACAACTCAGGTCCTTTCTTCTTAACTGATTCGCTGTTTTAAGGAGGATGAACAAATACATATTGAATGCTAGCCGCGCAGGAGATAATATATGTAGATCTGCCAAAAACAGACTCACTGACTATTCAGACACTTGTACTCAACCTAAAAAAACTGTCATCAGTAAACTATAATTTGTAATAACTTCGATCTTGTTTAATTGATCTTACCAGGGGCTTCTATGGCAAACACGGGTCCGATCAGACAGAGAAGTAGAAGCAGTCTCGTCGGCATCATGGCGCACTAAAACAGGATGTTAAGAGTACTTTTGCAACGTTACAACTCTGACTGTTGCTGTTTGTCTGACGTAACTGAGCCGACTTTTGCGGTGTTGTTTCCCATCAGTTCCTGTAGTTAGACCAAACACTGATGATTTATCACTTCCTTGTAACATAATTAATGTTGACCTCAGACAAACAGGAACAACAATATTCAGAGACTAAAATATATGTATGTAACCTACACTTACAAAAAATAAATGAATAAATAAAATAGTAACCTATAATGCAATAATGAAATATGAATCAAGTTTTGGCTATTGTTTGTAATAGCCATCTATTATCTATCTTAGCCTTTTAACAAAAATAAAGACCAAGTAGCGACAAGACTTGTGTCTTACAGGTATTGTCTGAAAAATGTCCAAACAAAGGCAAAAAAAGTTACTGAACAAAGTCTCAAACTACATGAAAAACACATTTCTGACCGACTCTGTGGTGACATGGTGAAGTGATATAAATACAGCAGGGCTATATTTACTCATATTCAGAGCGAGGGTGTCAGCATTCCATAGTAAGAGAATTAATCTGAAAACTCTGACTTGGATCTACGGGCTATTTAAGCAGTGCTAATCTGCTTTGCAACACCTGTTAGGCTTTGCTGCGAACGTGGCGCCATGTGTGAGTGTGGAAGTGCTGTGAGAGAGAATGAGTAAGCCTTTAACTTACTTATTTTAAATAATTTAAATAATTTAAGCATCTTTTTTTTTTTTATCTGGGGGGCAGTGATCTGCTCAGCCTCTTGAAAAAATAGCCTTTGAAAAAAGCAATAAAAAGAGAGCAACGGTTACTTTTCTAAGTGCGGAAGTTGAAAGAATTTGCTAAAATATTAACAGTTTGTGTTAATATTCACCCCTCCTCCTTTAAGTAGGTATAAATTATTGTTACTTTATACTGCTTTAATATAAATTCACTATAATTTACAAGTTTCTTACTTTTTTAAACGACGCTACCAGTTTCCATTTTTTTCATGTCTATTTTTAGTGTATTTTACGAGGATTGATTGTGCAGCCTTCACGCGTTTATGTGTAACTTTGCCCTTCACACTGCTTAAGCAACTTGACGAGCTTTTATTTTGAAGAGCCGGAAGTCCCAGTGTTTTGGTAACGGCAAGGAAGGACCTGTCATTTTCCCTGGTCCAGCTAATTTCTAATCTAATCAGCTGTTTCCCGGCAAAAACAGCACTAATTTAACAACAAATGTAACTGTTTGGACACAGAGACAAAATGGGATTCACACGGAGTCGCTTTCTTGGCGGTAAGCCGTCGAAAGCGCCGCTGCTGCTGCCTTTTCTGCTCACAGTCCTGCTCGTCGGGAGCCAAGGCGACGGCGGTGCGATGGACAACGGCGCAACTGAGAGGATAGCAGAGGAAAGCCACCGACAGGACAGTGCCTACCTACTGATATTCATAATGCTCTTGACGCTCACCATACTAACCATATGGCTTTTCAAACACCGCCGATTCAGGTTCCTGCACGAAACAGGGCTTGCCATGATCTATGGTAAGGACACCGAGCTAGCAGTCATATCAGTCCATTAAACGTAGCTTTAATGCTAGCTGAATAATTTGACAGGTAAATCTCACGTATCTTGGGCAGCATACTTCTAATCAGAGTGATATCCCTAATAAAAAACTGTTGCAACAAAATACACGATAATGGGTAGTGTATTGCAACAATAAATGGCAAACATGACTAGAGATGGGCCCTATAATTCCTATTTATAGCTATTAAAGCATCCTTTCCTTTCAAAATAATAAAGCTCACTTCTGTAAGAATAATTCTCCTATCAGTATTGGTTGATGCAACAGTTTTAAATGCAATCTCAGCCTAATTTCCTCCTCAAATAATAGTTAACTTCAAATCCTGTGCTGCCTGTTCTGATTTCACTTGCTCTTTTCTCTTTTTCCACTTTCCCAAAGGACTGTTGGTGGGTGTGATCCTGCGGTTTGGCATCCACGCCCCCCAAAGCATGAGCGACGTGATTCTCGGCTGTGCCGTTAACGGCAGTCCTGCCACTCTCTTGGTCAATGTCAGCGGACGGTTCTATGAGTACACTCTGAAGGGGGAAGTCGGACAGGGCAAAGGTCACCAAGTGCAGGACGATGAGATGCTGAGAAAGGCAAGGGAACAGATGGTGGAGGGTTGAAGTATTGGCTGTTTAGTGTGCATGTCTCACACTAAACAGTCAGTTAAGCGAGACATGTATGTCTCATAATGTAATGAAAATGGATGGATGGCAATTAAGTGCCTAACTAACCTACATCTTACTGCTTTCCTCAGGTGACCTTTGACCCAGAGGTGTTTTTCAACATTTTGCTGCCTCCCATTATTTTCCATGCGGGTTACAGTCTGAAAAGGGTAAGAGTGTCAAAAGGTTTTATATAAAGATTTATGTAAGTATCTGTTATTAAATGTATAGCTGTAAGGGTTTATATTTGTCTTTAATGTTTTCTTTTTAAGATTATTCATTTGTTCGTAGCCTCTTTCTTAAAATAAACACCTGCTCTCTGTCTTTCTCAGAGACACTTTTTCAGGAACATCGGTTCCATCCTCGCCTATGCTTTCATCGGAACAGTTATATCCTGCTTTGTTATCGGGTAAGTCAAGTAAACATCTCTGAAGTTAGCTCAGAATAGTGCAGAAAATCTTAAGCCATGCAACGATAATATTGACAATAGTAACTTAGATTTATATAGCTGGTTCCAAGGTTTGTGTAGCGGAGGAAAAGGTCAGATAAATACTGGGAAGCAAGAGCATGTAGGCAAGGAGATAGATCTTTTAGGAAATATGGGACTTTCCCAGGAGCTGGTGTGGGTGATGTGTTACTGGGAATTTGTACAAGTAAGAACTCTAGGAGCTGAGTTCTGAAGATACAGTAGTCCAGGCGGGAGGTGATGAAAGCATGAATGAGGGTTTTAGCTGCAAAGTCTGAGAGTACTGGCCACAGTCTGGAGATGTTCTTCAGGTGGTAGATGGCAAATTCAGAGATGGATTTAATATATGATGTGAATGAGAGGGTGGAGTCCAGGATGCAGACCTCTGAAGATGGTGAGGGTGAGAGAGAGTATCCACCCAACTTAAGGTGCAGATCGGCCCGGTACATACCACACTGCAGACCTTGCATTCCTACATGTGATCAGATTGTTGGTGAATAGTAGTGGTTTGAGTGTTTGTTTGTTTTTTCTCTCCTAGGCTGATCATGTATGGCTTTGTGTCCTTCATGAAAGTCGTGGGGCAGCTTGGTGGAGATTTTTACTTTACTGATTGCCTCTTCTTTGGGGCCATCGTTTCAGCAACAGACCCTGGTAGGTACCCACATCCAAAATTAACAGAGAAGATAAGCATCTGATTCCATTTTCAACAGCTTTCCTGTTATTATTTAGATGTTTTATACTCTTTATTTTCTGTGTCTCAGTGACAGTCCTCGCCATCTTCAATGAGCTAAAGGTAGACGTGGACCTCTACGCTTTACTGTTTGGGGAGAGCGTCCTCAACGATGCCGTCGCCATCGTCCTCTCCTCGTACGTATTACTGACGCACTGAAGCATCGGTGCCACATTAACGAGCAATTTTTGATGCCCGTCACAAAACAATAAGTGCTTTTTAAGAGATATTAGTTGATATAATTGGTGCAATGTTTCTTTCTGAAGCTGTAGCAGTTTAGGCTCAATCAGCTGGGGCTTTTTGCTAAAGTAATTACATTTTGGTGAACAATTCAGCTCAAACTGTTGGAACCTGAGTTAAATCTGAGTTATTAATTCTTATGCAGAAGAAAAACTGTTAAATTTGTGTTTGATTCCTTCAGTTGGGCTCCCAGTAGTGCCAGTTTTTTCATATTCATTACAGACAGAAAGAACAGTCACAGTTGTAATTATAATTTCTAGTTCTTTTCTAATTAGTCCCATAAAACCTGTGCTTGCATTGAGCTAACTGTGGCAGAAATGGCTTTTTTGTATTGTACACGCATTAATCATACTAACATCAGTCCCTGTCATTTCACTGCTTACCTGTCTCCACCCATCTGTGTCATTCATCGCCTTGCCCGTACGTACGTATGTATGTAGTGTTCTCCTCCGCTTCGAAAAGCTGGGAAGGCATGGTGCTGGAGCTGTGCGCTCCGCAGGAAACCAGAGCTCACTGTTACCTGAGGTGGCCGAGGAATGGCTGGGAGAAAACCAGACAGTGACTCCTCGGTGGGTGGGTTGGTCAGGGGGACTGCGTGG